CATCATTCCTACCTCCTTGCCTTCTTCCTTCCCCTCCCTCCCCTTTGCCCTATCTAAAGCTTCTCCATTTTTCCTATGCTCCTCCCCCATCACCATTATGAGTTAGCATCCTCATATCAAAGAAAACATTCGGCCTTTGTTTTTGGGGGGTTGGCTTGCTTCACTTAGCATTATCTTCTCCAACACCATCCATTTACCTGCAAGTGCCATAATTTTATTCTCTTTTAATGCTGAGTAAAATTTTATTGGGTTATAAATACCATATTTTATTTATCATTCATCTACTGAAGGGCATCTAAGTTGGTTCCACAATTTAGCTTTTGTGAATTGTGCTGCTATAAACATTGATATTGCTGTGTCCCTGTAGTATGCTGTTTTTAAGTTCTTTGAGTATAAACTGAGGAATGGGATAGCTGGGTCAAATGGTGGTACCATTACAAGTTTTCCAAGGAATCTCCATACTGCTTTCCATATTGGATGCACCAATTTACAGTCCCACCAGCAGTGTATGATTGTGCCTTTCCCCCCCCACATCCTCTCCAACATATATTGTTGTTTGTATTCTTGATAGCTGCCATTCTGACTAGAATGAGATAAAATCTTACAGTAATTTTGATTTGCATTTATCTAATTTCTAGAGATGTTGAACATTTTTCATGTTTGTTCAATGATTTTATATCCTCTTCTGAGAAGTATCTGTTCAGTTCCTTGGCCCATTTATTGATTGGGTTATTTGTTTTTTTTTTTTTTGGTGTTAATGTTTTTGAGTGCTTTATATATCCTAGAGATTAGTGCTGTATCTGATATGCTTCTAGTAAAGATTTGCTCCCATTCTGTAGGCTTTCTTCACTTCATGATTGTTTATTTTGCCAAGAAGAAGCTCTTTAGTTTGAATCCATCCCATTTATTGATTCTTGGTTTTAATCTTGGGCTATAGGAGTCTTATTAAGAAAGATGGGGGGCTGGGGATGTGGCTCAAGCAGTAATGCTCTTGCCTGGCATGTGCGGGGTGCTGGGTTCGATCCTCAGCACCACATAAAATAAAATATTGTATCCACCGAAAACTAAAAAATAAATATATAAAAAATTCTCTCTCTCTCTCTCTCTCTCTCTCTCTCTCTCTCTTCTCCCTCTCTCTCTCTTTAAAAAAAAAAAGGAAAGTTGAGGCCTAATCCAACATGATGAATATTTGGGCCTAGTTTTTCTTCCATTAGGCACAAGGTCTCTGGTTTAAGTCCTAGGTCCTTGATCCACTCTGAGTTGAGTCTTGTGCATGGTGAGAGATAGAAGTTTAATTTCATTTTGTTACATGAGGATTTCCAGTTTTCCCAGCACCATTTGTTGAAAAGGCTATCTTTTCTCCAATGTATGTTTTTGGTGCCTTTGTCTAATATAAGATAACTTATATGGGTTAGACTCTGTGTCCTCTATTCTATACCATTGGTCTACCAGTCTATTTTGGTGCCAATACCATGCTGTTTTTGTTACTATTGCTCTGTAGTATAGTTTAAGGTTTGTTATAGTGATGCACCTGCTTCACTCTTCCTGCTAAGGATTGCTTTGGCTATTCTGGGTCTCTTATTTTTCCAGATGAATTTCATCATTGCTTTTTCTATTTCTATAAGGAATGTCATTGGGCCTGCCCTTGCTTTCTAAAATTACTTCCTGTGCCTTGTGATTTCTTCACCGCCTTTTTTTCCCTTGGCTTTATTTTGCAGCCAGCCTACTCCACCAAAGAGAAACCTTCACATCTATCACTTGCGGGGCATGTGGACAGGAAACTAGTAACAAAGGGTCTCAATAGTAAATATGATTTAGAAAAAAATCAGTGGATTTGAAGATTACTGGATGCAGATTATGCAATCTAAATGACAGAGGGAGAGGGAAAAGTGAAAAACAAACAGAGCTACAATAAAACATGGAAGCCATTTAACACATTAATATAACCTTAACAGAAGTAGTCTGAACAGAAAGAATAGAGAGGGAAAGGAACAGGAAAACATCAATCAAAAATAGTATTTTGTCACTACAAAGTCATATATAGTCATATAGGTAGAGTTATTAGATTAAAAGTCCTTTAAAAATTGATAAAATGAGTCTCCAGAGACTTTCCATGAATAAAACTCACAAGGAGGCTGGGCGTGGTGGCACATGCCTATAATCCCAGCTGCTTGGGAGGCTGAGGCAGAAGGATTGTGAGTTCAAAGCCAGCTTCAGCAATTTAGCAAGGCCCTAAGCAATTTAGTGAGACCCTGTCTCAATAAGTAAGGAAGGAAGTAAATAAATAAATAAATAAAAATTAGAAAAAGAGCTGGGGAAGTGGCTCAGTGGTTAAGTGCCCCTAGGTTCAATCCCTAGTACTAAAACTCAAAATGAAAATGACTAGCACTGCTAGTTTATTTTATGTGTAAACTTGACAGAGCTGCAGGGTGCCCAGATTAAATATGATTTTAAATGTGTTTGTTGAGGGTATTTCTGGACAAGATTAACATTTGATATCTTTGAGAATCAGTTGACTGTTTATGGTTGTATTTATTTTTGGGATCTCTATTCTGTTCCATTGGTCTTTGTATCTATTTTTAATTAAATACCAGAGTATTTTGAATACACTTCACTGTCAAGTTGGGACATCACATCCCATCTTCTCCTGCCTCAAAATAAGATTTATATCATCACTCTGCTGTTTCTCAGGACTTCAGACAGAATTATACCAGCAGGTTCCCTGTGTCTCTTGCTTTCAGATGGCACATTGTGAGACTTTCTTGGTCTCCATAATCATGTAAATCAATCCCTTGAAGATACCAATTTATGACTCTCTCTCTCTCTCTCTCTCTCTCTCTCTCTCTTTCTCTCTCTCTGTTTGTTTGTGTGTGTGTGTGGAGAGATTATGAGGATTTGTGATCACAAACCCTCATAGATTTCTATTACTCTCTCCTCCTTCTCTCTCCTTCTCCAGTTGTGCTCACTGGTACCTGCAGAGCATTACTGGTTGTAGGACTCCTTTTGAATACCAAATTCTGCAGAAGCTTAATTAAGTCCCTTATATAAAAGAACATAATATTTGTATCTAACATGAACACATGCTCTCATATACTTTACATCTTCTCTAGATTACTTATAATAGCTAATATGATGTAAATTCTATGTAAATAATCATCATCAGATAGAAAATTGGTGATACAGAAAAAGAAAATGAAAAAAAACCTACATTGGAATACAGGAAACACCTATGAACCTTTGAAATGCAAATCAAAGTTCTAAGCAAACTGTCCATGTCCTTGGCCAGAAAACTTGCCCTCAGAAAGTAGCATAATATGGGTCATACACAAGTACAAGGAAAACTGGCTTGAAATTGAATAACTCTAGACCTCATTTGCTAGCAATTCTCTAGCTAAATATTAATAGACAAGACCAAAGAGTTGCTGTCTCTTCTGGAGATGGCCCCTATTCTCCCTTAAAAGTGAGTTCCAAGCTATACCAAAGCTTCTCTTTCTCAAGATGTGTATTTCTTGCTTTACCCCAAAAGATGTCTATTGAGAGAGCACACATTCTACCTTGAATTGTGTATTTGCTTTCCTAAGTAAATCTAGTTTTGTCTCTGACTCATGGTGCTGAAATTATTTTCCTTCACATATTCCAAGGACCTCACTAGTCTTCAGTCAAGGGCCCCTTCTTTGGGAACTCTTCCAGTGATAATCATGCTTTATTTTTTAGTGAATCAAGGATGCAAAATCTGCACATGTTCAGAACAGATGCTTCCCCCCAGCCCTAATATTTGTGATACATACTTGGATTGAATTTGTGAATGAAGAATGCAGATTTGCTTTTAATCTAAAAAAAAAAAAGTCCTGGAACTGAGCTGTTTGTTGTTTTCTACAATAAAATATATCAGGCACTAAATTTATGGTTTGTTTTTAGGGTCTCCGTTCAATTTCTAAAACTCTGTCAACATTATTCATTCTTTGTGGGTTAAATGTTTCAAAAATTGAACACGTTAATTTTTTTCATGCATAATCTAACATAACTTTATACATGTTCTTTATTGGGATGACATTCTGTTAGGAATACTCCATTGTTTTGAAATTTTACAATTATTATTTAGTAGTATTTCTTTGTGATACCAGTTATTGAAATCAGGGGCATTCTACCATTGAGGTGCTTCTCCAGCCTCTTATTTTCTGAGAGAAGGTCTAGCTTGCCCATTCTAGCTCTGAATTTGCCATTTCCTGGCTCAGGCTCCCCAGTTGTTGGGGTTACAGTCCTGTGTCACTGGCCTGGCATACGTTTATTATATTCAAAAAATACTCTTAATCATGGCATTGTACTTCCTTGAAGCAGGTGCCAAACTATTTTAATGCAGCAATATTTTACATATTGCTATTTCTTAGGGTTTTTTTTTGGGGGGGGGGTGTTAAAATATACTCGTTGTTAATTCAGGTTTTTGTTTAACACTGATGAAGTTGACAATGCTTTTGTAATGTCCACAATACACTAAGGAGAGAGAAAAACACATTTTGAGATTTTTATTGGAATTTTTTCAACGAATAGTCTTCCTATTAATTTCAGTATCGCAGAGGTACGAATCTGTACTATTTATTTTCTTCTTTCGCATGTGCTCGTTTTTTTTTTTTGATTTAGCTTCCATTTGCCTTTGAGTGATTTTGATAAGCTAGGTTTCTTATTCTGCTACCACTTTTTTCCTCCCAGACACAATCTCTGATGGTGTCAGATGAGTTTTTTATTGTATGGATTTATCTACTTTCCAGTTTCTAAAAAGTGAGATTGACAGACGGCTTTCCTTTCCTTGACAGTTCTGCGTGTAAACTGCACACAAGCCACACAAGGAACTAAGAATCCGTAGGGGAACCAGGAATGGTTGCTTGAGACACCCACACGGACCGCAAACCCTAGAGCTAAATCCACAGTTCCCCGCAATTCCTAAGAATTGGTCCCGGGGCCTCATGGGAAAGGTAGTTTTTCATTATTGCGCCGGGCTCTGCACCGCGTTTTGCGCATGCCTCATTTCGTCTGCTGCCTCTGGGACTCCGTCTTCCCTGGTTTTATTCAACTCCCCAGTTGGTCGGGTAGCAGAGTCTTCCTACTCTTCTGTGGTCAGTGCGACACGGCGGGGGATGGACCAGTGAACCCTGAAAGGCTGGGCAAGGAACGAGGGGCCCCGAGAGCGGTCAGCGGCCGGTATGCGGCGGTAGTAAGGAACCTCGTGACCCTGGGACTGCGGGGTCTTTGTCAGGATGTGAGGCCCCGTCACTACAGGTTTCAGGGGCGTGCTTGTGGAAGTTGTGTGTGGGGCCGCGAAAGGAGGAGGTGTGCACATGCGCGAAGTTTACTAGGAGCTCCTGGAGAGGGGGCGATGCTGCAGGGAGAGCCTGCGTGAGAGCTAAGGGTTCTTCCAACGCCTTGCGTGGGAGTTTGGACTCGTTAGTCACTACGGATTTCTTATCAACTTTGTTTAGGCAAGTTCTTTTTCCTTGGTTCTCCATTCTTTAGAGATTATGAACTGCTTCTCTATTATGTTCATCACTGCATCTTGATACGTGCTATTTTTCTGTCTTAATTCTCCTAAAGTTTAGGAAGGATCTACAAGAATTATCTTTTTATTTCATTTGAAAAGGAATAAGAAAAAAATCCTAAAGGTTTTTGCATCTCAGGATCATACTTTGTTAGTGGCCAAAACTATTTTGAGATCTCCTGACTCCCAAGCCAATCCTTTCTACTTTGTCATTTAAGTGCAAGGAAGTTTCTTATTAAACACATTTTGAGTAACAGCAACAAAGTTAAATTTAGAATTTTTTTTTTCTTCGTGAAGCATGGCTTTTTGTGGAGTCACTAATCAAAGGTTAAATAACACTAGTAGGAAAACTGATAGATATCAGTCCAGAGTATTATTTTACAACTGTGAAATGTTGATGTTACTTCATTAGATGTAGTAACGTAATTGACCAGTATTATTGTTTTAATTTTTTTTGTGAATCCTTAGTATTCACAAGAGAATTCTGTTGAGATCCATAGGAAGCAAATATTAACTTTCATTCAGAAAAAAAAAAATTGTGCACATGAGCTACATGATTATATTAGAGTCAGGTGGTCTTTCATCATTCCCCCTGATTATTCTGAAGGGTCAGTGGAGTGTTGGCATTATTCTAGGTTATTATTCATTAGGTCACTGGCATCAGTAGTACATTATTATTCATTGTGTCATTAGGCAGGTTACAGAGTTAGCAACATTATACAGCTACATGTTACTTCTCAGTTACATGTTATAGTTACAGTGTGCAATGTTAGGACTTTTGTGAAGCTCTTAAGAAAGTCCATTGTTTAAAGTTACTGTTTTGTGGACAGGTTCAGGCTTAGTGGAGCTTGGTAAAACATTGTGGTTGTCTAACAAGAGAGTTCCATTATTCCTAGGAGCTGTGTGCCTGAGATCAATTCTCCCACAGGAATCATTTTATCTAGTGAATGAGTGTAGTTTTTTAGGGCAGGAGAATTCATGAGCTGCTGAGCAGGCCAGATCTTTTATGATCCCATTCCTCTTCTGCTAACTAGCTGTGTCTTCAGAGTTGTCTACATCTTTCCAAGAACAGCACAAGATGAACAAGGTAAGTTGTATGTTTATTTGTCCTTCATGTTATTTTACAACGGATTTTGAAAGATTTGTAAGAATCAATGTGAAGATGAGAAAATTATAATAGATAAAAATCCAATTTTGCAGAAAATATAAACCAATAGATAGGTTGTCACATTGGTATGTTGATATATACTGACTATATAACCTTAAAATCACTCAGGTGAGCTGCAAAATGTCTCTTGGGTTTTCAACCATCAGGGCAGGTGAGTTTTGCAGCAGAAGACTGAATCCTATGAAAACAATGGTATCTTTCTGAAAGATACCTTTTGTTTTTATTGTTTGTTTATAACAAAGATACATAGTGAATACCTTCCAATAATAGCATTATATTAATGCAGTCTATTTCCTTAAACTGTTCTTCAGCAGTGTCATTAGGCAGGTTACAGGCATGGTTCAAGACATGGTTCAAATAGTGTCAATTTTCTGAATGGTCTTTTATGATTCTGGCATAAAACTAGAATGTTGAGAGGAAGAAATGGCCTGTTATGTATACCTGTAACATAAACTTTACATAGCTATCTTATAGTAGCCAGGTTTTGTATATAGGTTATGTAGCATACATTTCAAAGTTAACATTCTGGTAAATGTTTCTGAGTCTTAGTCACATTTCCTCTCATAGTATGTAGTATTGTTTCTACACTTTTTTTTTGGAGTTTATCTAAATAAAGGTCAATCAATGACTAGATTGTGGTTGCCTCCCTTGAATAAGTGCTACATTATCCTACTGATTTTTATCCTTGGATGACTCCTCTGTCGGTATCTGATACATTCTTTTGATGCTTTGTTCCTGGAGTCTTCCTTATCATGTTCAGTTCCAAGTTTTCATACTTTGTCTTATAGTCTTGTTTTGTTGAAATACGTACATTAAAAACATATAGCTGGTGGAGCAATACTGTTTATTATTTTGAGTGCTTTTAAGTGTCTTCAAGCTTAGATGACACACATTTTTCCTCCCACTTCACCAGTAGCTGTTAAGAAAACAAAAGGGGACAGAAGAAAGTTGCAAAGGCAGAATGAATGCCAGAATAGCAGGATGGCAGAATGGCAGAAAGGCAGAAAGCCCCTTATCCAAGATGCCAGCTTTATTTATATCAATAGGTTATATTAGGTCACTGGCATCAGTAATACATTATTATTCATTGTGTCATTAGGCAGGTTACAGAGTTAGCAACATTATACAGTTTATTTCTCAGTTACATACTACAGTTACAGTGTGCAATGTTAGAACCTTTGTGAAGCTCTCAAGAAAGTCCATTGTTTAAAGTTACTGTTTTGTGGATAGGTTCAGGTTCAGTGGAGCTTGGTGAAACATTGTGGTTGTCTAACAAGAGAGTTCCTTTATTCCTAGGAGCTATGTGCCTGAGGTCAAGATTGAGGCTGATAAGACTCTAGCACAGAGCCTCCTCAGGAAGGGCATTGCCATAGCAGCTAGGCACTGCATATACTAGTTATCTTACTAGTTCCTGGGAGAAACTGCAGAATATTCCAAATGTGGAAATCAGGGTGCCTGTTACCCCCCAGGAGTTTGCTCACCAGAGGAACGCTGTCCTGTACATTTCCACAGCCAGAATCCTTACTAATAATTTCAGATCTGCCCATGTGTAGTTTATTGTTTCTTGTATTTTATCAATGTTGTGATTTTTGTACTTTAGTTGCCCCCTGCCTTTCTTGAAAAGATTGGTTCTATAAATGAAAACCTGATCATATAATATGCTCCTCTCTCTTCATTGGCTCTCCTCTTCCATAGCAGTATTTCCTAAAATAAAGAAATGATCCCTAGAGATATCCAAATCAATCCATTTGGATATTTTCTACTGAATATCCTACAGATGTTATAATAGATCCTAAATCTTCCCATTTTCTGCACATCCTAATTATAGTCTACATCTTGAAGGGTTAGAACCTGGAATATGTATTGCAGTGAAGTAAAATGTTAGACATTCAAATTTGTGTGTGTATGTGTGTGTGTGTGTGTGTGTGTGTGTGTGTGTTACCCCTGGGATTAAACTCCAAGAGCATTCTTCCTCCGAGTTACATTCTCACCCCTTTTAAAAATTTTGGGACTCATCCTCCCAAGTAACTGGGATTATAGGTGTGCACCATTACATCTGGCTATCTTTCTACATTTTAAAACCTAAATGAGAATTAAAGTGAAATTCATAAGAAATGAATTGACAGTTTCTGTAATTTGTGTTAATTGGTAGTGCTCAAAAATATTCTTGCAATGGTCATATACTGTGGAGACTATTAGTCTAAAATTACTTCATAATGAATTCCTTGAATACTTCCATGGCAGTATCTCATGACAGCACCAGACCATGTTCTCATGTCTTCCTCTGCCATTTGCCCTGTTGCTGATTTCTTCAGTGTGTAAAGTTCCCTGCCTTTGCTTGTGCCATGTCTTGTAAAGAATACTGTATTACTCTTCAGCCAAAAGCTGTGCTTCAAAATAGAACTCATCTTGCTCCCAATTTATATTAGTCTATCTTGTATGTACTTTCACTTTCACATTTACAACATATTCTGTATATATGTTTTTTTTTAAAAAATCAGGTTGTATGGTTCTTAAATACAAGAAGATTTTAAAAATTTTTTCTATTTCCAGCCACTATAATAGTTCCAGGTACATTGTGAGAACTTGCTAATTTTTTTCGCACATCAATTCATACCTTAATGCAATAGTAGAATATTCCTATTATTGTTTCTCTTTTCCTCCTGATATATAAAGCAAAAACAAATATTCTGTAAATCATCTTGGTAATTTGTAATCAATAAACACAGTGAGGATCAGTTCCATATGTCTTTTTCCATGTCAACTAATTATGATCATTTCAGGTTGAACAGAAATTCCAGGAGTTAGTGTCATTTAACGACGTGACTGTGGGCTTTACCCAGGAAGAATGGCAGCACTTGGACCCTAGCCAGAGGTCCCTGTATAGAGAGGTGATGCTGGAGAACTACAGTCACCTTGTCTCTGTGGGTAAGACCTATTTACTTACTGTGTAATTCCAAATAGCATTTATTTATTTCTTTAATTATGAAATATATGGGAATTCTATTTAGTTTAATAATATTTGAGATTGGAATTCAGAAACCAGTGTTGATTGATCACTTATGGGGCATCGAGGATAGTTGTGTTCATCTCTCTAGTAAAATGTTACAGTGGCAGTGGGTTTCCCTCTCTGTCAGAGGCCCTGACATCTAGGCTGCCAGCCAAGTCCATAATTATTTCCTGTTGATAGGGTATTGTGTGACCAAGCCAGAGGTGATCTTCAGGCTAGAGCAAGGAGAGGAACCATGGATATTGGAGGCAGAATTCCCAAGCCAGAGCTTCCCAGGTAAGTTAATCTCTATTGTATAGAGAAACATCAAGAGATTTATTATTTTCTTGTAGTTAATTCAGGGGTTGGCAATTGTGGAACATTTTTTAGAGGATTTAATCCTTACTGATTCTTAATTCAAACCTCCAAACACCATTCTCAAGTATTTTTTGATTAATTTAAAAACTAATTTCTATTTTTAGACCTGCCCATTGTCTAGTCTTTGCTTGTCTTATGTTTACTGTTGTTTTTCTTGGTTACTTTGTGCTTCTCAAAGCAGTTTCAGTTGCCCACTTTAACTTCCATTGTTCTATATTCCTTCTGTTGTCACACATTCTTTAATATACTCATTTTTTGACTCAACAAATATTGAATTCTTGCTATGTGTTACTCATTTTCTAAGAACTCAGTATATAGTAGTGAAAAAAACAACGTCTAAATGAATTTATACAAGTAGCACTAAACAAAAACAGATACTTATGTATAGTCAGTGTTCTGTGGTGATCAGAGGAAACCTTAGTGCAGTTAAAGTTAAAGCAAAAACTTTAATGAAATGATTATATGAGCTATGAAGACTGCGTTTTTTTTTTTTTCAGTAAGGTGAAATAATAGCTGCTGAGCCCACGAACAGGAATGTGCTTATGTGTTTCTGAGGAATAATAAAAAGTCACAAGGACTTTGGGAAGTGATTGATGGAAGGAGAAATAGCTGATGATGTCACAGAGGTAGTCACTATATAAAAGATGAGAGAAACATAAACTCTGTTAAGTAATTTAATTTTATTGATGATTTTCTGCAGATGAGCAATGTGTGAAATATATTGTGTAAGATCTCTCTCAACTCTATAGAGAAAACATTGATATAGACACAAGGACAAAGAAAGTTCATTAGTTCAAAGTTCTCCTTATGAGTAATTATGGTGACTTAGACTAAATTGGAAGGCATGGAAGTAAGAAGTAATTTGATTCTCTTGATATATAGAAAGAGAGGCAACAGAAAAAGACCTCACAGTTGTAACAGTAACAGATGGAGAAGAGAGAGGTATTTAAAGTATTTGAGGAAGAAATGACTGAAATCTTCTCAGATTTAACAAAACCATAAAATTTTTCATTCAAGAATCTGAATAATATCAAATAAGATAAATCTGAAGAAATGCATGCTGAAGGCACATGATGATCAAAGTATAATTATTAATCATACTTAATTTATTAATCATAGTTAAATCCAAAGGAGAATTACCTGTAGGAAGTGACAGCATATTTCTCATCTGACACCATAGTGACTAGAAGAAAGTAGTATCTTTTTAAGTACTGAAAGAGAATAAATCAAACAAATATTCTGTCTTGTGAAATGGAACTGAAGGCATTATTAGACAAAAGCTAGCAAATCTACCTTTAAGAAAATGGCTAGTTTTCTAAATAGAAAGCAATGAGACTTGAACCTTCAGAAAAGAAATTGAAAGTTGGCAAAGATAGGGGTAAATGTAATAGAGTAACCCTCTCTTGAATTTCTGAAATTATATTTGAAGATTAAAGCAAAATTTATAGTGTCACATGATTCAGTGCTCTCTGTAGAAGAAATATGTAAGACAGTTATATTTAAGACATGGGGAGGGTGAAGTATTTTAAATGAAATTGAGTTTTCTACATTTCATATGAGATGATAAAATATTGATGCTGTTAAAAAGTTACATAGGTAACTAGATCAACTAACTACTAAGAAAAACTATAGAACATGAAATACTTAGTAACACCAAAAATGCATTGATGGAATATAAGAAAACAAGAGGAACAAATATGAGAAATATAGAAACCAAATAAAATAGGAGTCAAGTGACAAAATTTGTCTTAAATATCAATGATTAATATATATTAGAAAAAATACATATTGACGGTAAAGAAAACAAGAAGCGAGGGAAGGAAGATGGCGGTGAAGGGAGTGCATCATCCCAGTGCGCCGCGTCACTGAGTGGGAGAAAAACGAGGTGAAACGGCTGAAGGCTAGCTTGTTGGGAATTTCCAGTGAAATTGAGGTGCTCCAGAATCTAGTGGACGGATTTTCATTGCACGAGGTTCGGCTGCCGGAGCCCAGTCGAGGGCAATTTCTCCGCACGGAGGGTCGCATTGCCGGATCAGGGGAACGCCCTGCAGCTGGAGTCTGCGGCGCACGTGGGGAAGTGGCGAGGTGCCGGACCGGGGGTGCAGCGATGCGGATCAATGATAAAAGAAGGAAGGAAAAATCATGCATCACTTGGAGAATGAACAATAGGTTACTGAATGATCAATGGGTTTTAGAAGACATCAAGGAGGAAATTAAAAACTTCTTAGAGTTAAATGAAAACACAGACAGAACATATCGGAATCTATGGGACACATTGAAAGCAGTTCTAAGAGGAAAATTCATTGCTTGGAGTTCATTCCTTAAAAAAAGAAAAAACCAACAAATAAATGATCTCATACTTCATCTCAAAATCCTGGAAAAAGAAGAGCAAAACAACAGCAAAAGAAGTAGAAGGCA